AGTTGAAAGTTACAAAATAAAAATATTGAATAAAGAATTCTAAAATCTTTCAAAATAAGAGCTTTATCACTGTAATAGTGCTTCAATGTTTGAAGATGCCATCCTAGACAGTGATTGTTTGCATTCATCAAATCACTTCATGCCTTTTTTTCCCTATGAGTAAGTGAACAGTTATAAATCATGACATCTAACTAAAACTCCATATGATGTGCTGGATGGGTCACATTATGAACAGTATTTTCTATAGCTGTAATTTTAAATATATGTTATTTATATACACTGCTTTAAAATGTACACTTACCTTTAACTTTAGTGGCATTTCAACAATGTTACATCAGGATTAATAAAACTGTTATATTATCATAAAAAAAATTCCAAGGAAAAGTTTTACACTGATAGCTAGATCAAATGGAGGACTCTGTGATGGATTCTTAAGCACTGCACTTCAGGTCAATAAAAAATGCTTACAGCCTTACATACCAAATTTGGAGTCAGTCAATCAAACTTATAGTGACCAAGTTATGCTCTGGAAAAGCCTATTAAGTAAGAAAATTTACAAAAGGCAAGAACTAAAAAATCATGAAGTGCAGAGTACAAGTTATTGTGCACTGCACTTCTTCTCAAGGAGATCTATCATCCTATTAAGTTTCAAGTCAACAGCTTTTAAAGTGTAAGAGAATTGGCCGTGACAAAAATAAAGTATTATAATAATTAAAGGACAATAACTCAGTGCACTGCACTTCTTCTCAATAATATCTATCCTCTTATGAAGTTTCATCATCATTTCCATATTTTATAGTTTAGGAAAAATAGCACGGACAAAAATAAAGTATGAAAATTAACAAAGGGCAATAACTCAAAAAATAAGAAGCAGAGTACCAGTTTTTGTGCTCTGCTCTTCTTCTCTATAATGTCTATCATCCTATGAAGTTTCAAGTTCATAGCTTTTATTGTTTTGGAGAAATGGCACGGACAAAAATAAAGTAAGAAAATTAACAAAGGGCAATACTTCAAAAAATCAAGTACAGAGTATCGGTTTTTGAACATTGCACTTTATCTCATTGAGATCTGTCATGCATCCCATGAAGTTCCAAGTCCATAGCTTTTACAGTTTAGGAAAGATGGCACATCAAAAATAAAGTATGAAAACTAACAAAGGGCAATTACACTGGAACCAATAAGTACTAAGCAATGAGTGTAATGTCTCTTGCTCAAGCAAGGAAACAACTACTTGCCCCTGACAGGGTTTCGGAAGGTTTACACCCATGCAGCTAGTGATCATTATAGATGACTAGTCTGATGTGTTAACTACTCTGCCATGCCACAACAATGACCACAGTAATTTATAACACTGTATCTGTTAACTTATAGGAAACTTTTCAGCAATATGGTTTTGCTGTCTTAATCAGCAATTTATTGTAGGATGATTAGCCAAAGCCCATCATTGGCATGTAGGAACTGAGGGGTCTTCCTAATTACCGACAAGAACCGTCAGAAACAGACAAGAGCCTATATATTGCAAATAAACACAAACAAATGTGTTTTTATGATTTAGTATGGCTGCAGTAAGAAGTGCACTGACAAATTGTAAGACTTAGGGCCTTGACATTTCCATGTTTTGTAATGATATTGCATTGAATGGATTCTATTTGTATTTGCCATTAGTCCATTTACATTTGTTATTCTTGGTATGTTTGTTACAAGATAATTTTACCGGTAACTTACATTACCCCTCCCACCACAACACTAGTGAAAATACTTTGGTGACTTAGTAGTGAATTTTCTGACCCATTGTAACATACAAACATATCATGAATTGCTTTGGTAGCATTGTTTATAGCATAATTTATATATAACCTTGTTATTGATACAATACTGAATGTAAGTGGATTAAGTTTAAAATATCTGAATATTTCTGTATTTGTGAACAGTTATAATGTAAAAATGTCATATTTTGATATTAAGCTTTAATTTTCATAATATAATATAATGATAATAAATATCTACATCATGTAACAAGCTAAAACCTTTTAATAAACAGCCTGGTATTTTCCTTATACATATATGTAGAAATATAGTATACAGTAGATTTAATGTTAAATACACTTCCAGGTATTATGTCATTATTAATGACTACTCAAGAAATAAGGAAATAAAATTATAAGATTGTATTTAAGCATTAAAACAGTTAGCTGGTAGGACTTTGTTCTCATTCTTTTTTTTTCATCCTAATATCATATAATAAATGCTCATCATTGGTTCATTATTTCTACTAAGAACATTCTTGTTTATTGAAAATTTTTAGAATATATTTCCATGGCATTGTCATTAAGGAATAACATTTCATATTTTCTTAAGTTATATTAATTGAGAGCAAGAGATCTACATGACATGACATGTAAAGATTTAAGATGGTGGTCAGTGAATATAATCCTGGTTGCAGTCTCTAAAATCACATTTTTGTTAGATTCAGCTAAGGCTTCAAACTAACGTGTCTACGGAGTGTATTTGGTTCAATTTTCAAGAAATTCAAAGTTTTATTTTAAGCCAGGTGAAACATAGTTTAAAGTTATAAAATTATGCATGGGAATATTCTAATCAAAAGGCTGCTAGCTCTTTGGTATTTTCTGATCTTTGCAATCTTTATCTTACTGTATATCTAGCTAAAATCTCCTCGCCCAAACAATCCGAAATGTATATATTTCATTACATGACAGTCAGATTTATTTGCCTGATACACCTGGGACTAATAATGTAATGTGTATCTTTCTGTCCCAGGATATGCGCAGAAGTCTAACTTATGGGAGAAATTGATTATCGACTGCCCTAAATTCGTCCCTGTCCTAGAGTCAACATCCTTAATTTATTTTTCAGAAAGTCTAAATAACAATCATTTAGAGGCGTTTAATTCCGATCACTATAATCCGAAGCGGAAATAGCCGAACAATTTTCATTGATCAAAATGATATTCATCCACGGAATTTTTTATTGTGCATTTATTGACAATTCAAGTCAAAGCTACTTTTAAACTTTAAATGCGTTGTAATTTGTTGGATACTTGTAACAAAATAAAAATATTTCTTGCTGTAACATCGCTAATTTTAAGCTGTTTTGAGAACTACTTGTTGTTAGGTTTGTCAGGAAGCGCTGTGCCTGAGATTGAATGTCAGCATTACTGTGATGAGAAAATACAAAAACCTTTCTAGCTAAAGATATTTCAGTTATGATTAAAATGAAGTTAAAATGTGAATGTTTCTTAACATTGTGTGTAATATATATATGTTAAGACTGCTTAACATTTTGTGTAACATATAAGATATATAGGTTGGTTAACATTTCTGTATTGTACATGTAGATATATGTTAAGGTTGGTTTATCATTTTATGTAACATTATTTGAAAGGTTGTGTCATATAATTAAGAACTAGTCAACTATATGGAGGGCTTGCTGCAAAGTGCTTGTAACTTATATGATGATATGAAGGAGCTATGTACACATTTTCTCACGGCGCCCTGGATATATCATGTAGTTACATATAATGTGTGACTGCTAGTATTTCCTATATTACTCATAATTGTTTAATATTATTTTATATACAGTACACATTTACAATTATTTTCATGCTGATTTATTTGTATGTAGTTTACATTCACACAAGTTTAAAGGCATATTAAGCCTGAGAAATGAGTATTATTTTCCATTTTGTAGAAAGGGCTAAGAATTAAAAATAATGTTAAAATAATGTATTTAGAACATGCGAGCTGCTTATCATCTTAAGAAAATATTGTCCTTTGTGAAATAATTTGTGACAAAGGTAGATAAATGAAAACACAAAGCTGTATTTTGACTTCCATACAAAAGTGTACTTATTGCCGAAATGCAAAAGAAGCAAAGGTGGCTAAGCTATATGAATATTATGCAAGTTTTAGAAATTGTTACAGGACATCTGAAACACAAAATTGATAGCATTTTTTGGGCTTAATGGGCCTTTAATTATTATGTTTGTTGTCAAGAGCTTAGTGTTTTATTTTTGAAACTGTATACACAGGCTTCTATGGGAACATTTAATTGAATTAAACTATTTGTAAGAGTTGAAATGACAGGGGGTTATCAATGTCTGTGTGTACATTATTATTATGAATATTTTCCATCATTTGTAACAACTACTAAATATTTATGTTTCTTATTTAACTTGACAAACATCTTATATTTACTAAACAATAATTAACTAATCAAGGATAAAATTTAAAAGTTAATACTGTTGAGTTTTTTTTGCTTATTTGTTTTTCCAAACATTTAATTTTTCTGATTGGCTTAGCTATGTGTTAGAAATATATGGACGTGTTTTTTGAAATTCTTGAAAGTTGCTACCTTACCTCATATTTGATTGGTTGTTTTATTTTGTTTTATTTTAAATATGTACATTTGCAAGTTACACAACAAACAGTAAAATACTAAAACAATGATAATTTACATATTCAAGGTATTGAGAATAATAACGTTCATGAATATACAATTTTTTTTCAAGATATCACATACAGTAAGGCATTTAGCTATCACAGAAATTGATTCTGCCATATTATAATAATCAAATAACTCAAAGGAATTTTTTCAACATTCATATATGTAATACATGTTTTACTTTTGATTTACAATGAAACAAAATAGCTGAAAACATAGCAACTTGTGTACAGATTTACATAAAATTCTAGGCTGGTACAAATGTACATGAAAATGAAAGCTCAAAAAGCTTATTTCCGACAGAAGAATTGGTATTTGATAATACAATATCAACAGTATTGATTGTGGTGTGTCATATATATTTAAGAAATGTAAAAGCAAAATTTAATAATGAAAATATTGAATCGACCAACGCTTTTTAAATCTTAAAATTACCCTGGTGGGATATAAATTCAGATTTCCGACATAATGAAAATTTCATATTTGAATAATATATTACATGTATTACATTATATATTATATAACGATGTTATATATAGATTTCAAACAAGGAAATATTTTATAATATTGTACATAGTTATTTGCCTTCTTATTGCTGTGTGCTTCACCGTGTCAGAGGTATTGCTATTGCTATATTTGGTAAGATTACTTATTTTATAATTACTCCCGTATTTTTCCCGTTCAAGTTTTCCTTGCATTCATTGTACTTTTTAAGTAATAATCAACTTTTTTCTTTTGTTTGATATATTAACGGCGTTAGACTGTGGGGTGTGCATACGACGTTTGAGGTTGTTGGTTTGCAGCTGCCCCGGATGAAGAATATGGCGAGGGTTCTAATGGATATACTGGTGGTAGAACATATGGTGCAGGTGTGACGGCAGAGGTCGCTTTAACACCAAAACAAACTTTGTGTAGAATGTAGCCAGCACCAACCAGCAGGGCTATACCAACACAAGCCCCGATAACGGCGCCCACGATAAGTGGCGTATTGTCAGTTTCTTCGTCTGAAAAAAAAATGACAAGGTAATGTATCTTTAACATATCAAAGAACGATATTTCAGACGTAAGACATATCAGACATACAAATATCAAGTTTGCAATGAAAGTAGAAATCTAAACACGATAAAATGAGTAAATAAAAATGAAATAATTTATGAAGAGAAATTGAAATACTTTATCAGACATACAAAATATCAAGTTTGCAATGAAAGTAGAAATATAAACACGATAAAATTATTAAATATTTTTTAATAATAGTTAAAAAATAAACCTTGCTCCTTTTCTTCGCATACATTGTTGATACAGTCAAGAGAAGTGGTTGCACACGTGACACTGTCATCACAATAGGCGCCTAATTGACCATCTGTAAAATTATAGTAAAAATTGAAATTTGAAGTTTGAAAGATTAACTAGCATTCATATATAATTATCTTGTAAATATTTAAATTAACTTACTTATTTTGAACTTCATATAACTCGAATATTGACGATTATTGACTTTGCTCTATAAGCTACACTATTTTTTCTCTACATCAGAAGATTTGTATATATGTATGTATGTGTGTGTATGTGTGCTTGCGTGCGTGCGTGTATGTATGTATGCGCGTGAGTTTATGTATGCATGTATATATTTTCAAATGAACAAAAAAGTGAAAAGAATTGTAAAACTGTAAAAAGGCAGAATCTTGTATAATGCTAAAAATGAAATAATTTACCAACGAAAAATTGATATAATTTAATAGCAGAATTGAAATATTTTACCAACAAAAATGAAATAATTTACGAACAGAAATTCAAATAATTTATCAGACTTACAAAATATCAAGTTTGCAATGAAAGTAGAAATATAAACACGATAAAATTATTAAATATTTTGTAATAATATCAAAATAAACCTTGCTCCTTTTCTTCGCATACATTGTTGATACAGTCAAGAGAAGTGGTTGCACACGTGACACTGTCATCACAATAGCCCCCTAATTGACCATCTGTAAAATTATAGTAAAAATGAAATTTGAAGTTTGAAAGATTAACTAGCATTCATATATAATTATCTTGTAAATATTTAAATTAACTTACTTTATTTTGAACTTCATAAAACTCGAATAGTGACGATTATTGACTTTGCTCTATTAGCTACACTTCTTTTTCTCTACATCAGAAGATTTGTATATATGTATGTATGTGTGTATGTGTGTGTGCGTGCGTGCGTGCGTGCATGTATGTATGCGCGTGGGTACAAAAAAAAGAATTGCAAAACTGATATTTTTTCTAATATTACTAAATAAGGGATCCTCATTGATATAATAATAAATTACCCTGTTTACAATATACGTCAATCACGCGATATCCGTCGTTGCAGACGACACAGATATTACCGTCCTGTAAACAACCACTATCTGTGGTTGCACACGTTACACTGTCATCACAATAGCCGCCTAATTGACCATCTGTAAAATTATAGTAAAAATGAAATTTGAAGTTTAAAAGATGAACTAGCATTCATATATAATTATCATGTAAATATTTAAATTAACTTACTTATTTTGAATTTCATAAAACTCGAATAGTGACGATTATTGACTTTGCTCTATTAGCTACACTACTTTTTCTCTACATCAGAAGATTTGTATGTATGTATGTATGTGTGTATGTATGTATGTGTGTGTATGTGTGCGTCATGCGTGCGAGCGTGTATATATTTATGCGCGTGCGTGCAAAATATGAAAAGGATTGCAAAACTGATATTTTTTCTAATATTACTAAATAAGGGATCCTCATTGATATAATAATAAATTACCCTGTTTACAATATACGTCAATCACGCGATATCCGTCGTTGCAGACGACACAGATATTACCGTCCTGTAAACAACCACTATCTGTGGTTGCACACGTGACACTGTCATCACAATAGCCGCCTAATTGACCATCTGTAAAATTATAGTAAAAATGAAATTTGAAGTTTGAAAGATAAACTAGCATTCATATAAAATTATCTTGTAAATATTTAAATTAACTTACTTATTTTGAACTTCATAAAACTCGAATAGTGACGATTATTGACTTTGCTCTATAAGCTACACTATTTTTTCTCTACATCAGAAGATTTGTATATATGTATGTATGTGTGTGTATGTGTGTGTGCGTGTGTGCGTGTATGTATGTATGTATGTATGTATGCGCGTGCGTGCAAAAAAAATGAAAAGAATTGCAAAACTGATATTTTTTCTAATATTACTAAATAAGGGATCCTCATTGATATAATAATAAATTGTATCATAGTTTGGGGACCTTTCTGTTGAAAAAGTGTCAGAGTTAAATCGTATACATATACATGCACAGTGCGGTAACTGGAGTGCAGGTATCAGTTACCCGCACTCCAGATCATGCCCGTTGATTGGCTCATTTTTGCTGGGGTTTACATTTTGTGACGGCAGAGAAAGGGAAAGCGGCAGAAATATCATATTCAGATGCTAGATCATTGGTTACTTTTTCCCGGGGTTTAAAATTGTGACAACAGGGAACGTGTTTTTATGTTTGACTATGATACAAAAGAGAAAGAACACCAAAAACACTCGGCAATCTGATTTATACTCGGGGGCTACGCCCCCTCGTACAAATCAGATAGCCTCGTGTTTCGGTGCTCTTTCTATTACTTACCCTGTTTACAATATATGTCAATCACGCGATATCCGTCGTTGCAGACGACACAGATATTACCGTCCTGTAAACAACCACTATCTGTGGTTGCACACGTGACACTGTCATCACAATAGCCGCCTAATTGACCATCTGTAAAATTATAGTAAAAATGAAATTTGAAGTTTGAAAGTTAAACTAGCATTCATATATAATTATCTTGTAAATAATTAAATTGACTTACTTTATTTTGAACTTCATAAAACTCGAATAGTGACGATTATTGACTTTGATCTATAAGCTACACTACTTTTCTCTACATCAGAAGATTTTTTTATATGCATGTATATATGTGTGTATGTGTGTGTGCGTGCGTGTATGTATATATGTATGCGCATGCGTGCGTGCGTTTATGTATGTATGTATGTATGTATATATTTTTTAAATGCACAAAAAAATGAAAAGAATTGCAAAAGTGATATTTTTTCTAATATTACTAAATAAGGGATCCTCATTGATATAATAATAAATTACCCTGTTTACAATATATGTCAATCACGCGATATCCGTCGTTGCAGACGACACATATTTTACAGTCCTGTAAACAACCACCATCTGTGATAGCACTACATTCTGAGGAATCTATACACGAACCACCAATTTCTCCAGCTGTAAAAAGGCAATTATCATGCTAAAAATACTTTAAAATCAGCCATTTAAGTAAAATACCAACAGAAATTTAAATAATTCACCTTAAAAAACATGAAATCATTTACCAGGAGAAATTGAAACATCTTACTATCAGAAGTTTAAAAAACTTTTTCAAAAAATGAAAGCATATACCTAGGGAAATTGAACTAATTTACTAGCAGAAATTGAAAAAAAACCAGCCTATTTTGAAAGACTTTACCAACAAAAAAATGAAACAATTTACTTGCAGAAATTGAAAAAAAAATCTACCATATTTTAAATATTTGACCAACAAAAATGAAATAATTTACGAGCAGAAATTGAAAAAAAACTAGCATATTTTGAAATAATTTACCAACCAAAATGAAATAATTTACGAATAGAAATTGAAAAAAACTAGCATATTTTGAAATAATTTACTAACAAAAATGAAATAATTTACTAGCAGAAATTGACAAAAACTAGCATATTTTGCAATAATTTACCAACAAAAATGAAATAATTTACTAGCCAGAAATTGAAATATTTTACAAGAAAAATGAAATAATTTACCAACAAAAATGAAATAATTTACGAACAGAAATTGAAATAATTTACCAGCTGAATTTGAGATATTTTACCAACAAAATTTCAAGTAATTTTACAGGAGAAATTAAAATAATTTCTAAGCAAATATTTAAATAATTTACCAGCAAAAATTATAATACATAAAATCTGTATAGAGAAATGTATATAATACCAGCAGGAATTCCAGCTAATGGATCTGTCACGGTGCCATAAAACTGTATACTCCAGTAATAAAGGTTCATACCTAGGTATAGATTTTAATATATTAGAATTCATCTTATAGTCAAGTCAAATAGTATACAAACGTGCCAAAAATCATAGTTTAACGTTCTTGACAAAATAGTGTTATATGCGTCGACTTTACCAGCAAATTTTTCTTACAACAAAATGTTTTCTTGTATTTATACTTATGGCATCTGATTTATGCATACACAGATCTATTTTATATCATCATTTTCATGATAAATTAACATAGATCTATATTATATTATAAAACTTTTATATCTCATAATGAAGCTGTTTTTCTTGTCATATTTCTGGTGGTTTGTTGTTGTTGTTTTTTATGTGATTTTAGAAAAAAATATAAACGCATCTATCAATAAGATAAACATACTTGTTCCACCGATCGCATCAGACATAGTTAATGTCCAGTCACCTTCCGGGTTTTCGCCCCATGTATGAACGGACATAAAATCCCAGGTTATTGACGACGACGACAAATCGTTAGTTCTCGATCTGAATATTTTACTTCGGGTACCCGACGGGGAGTCAATGAAGAATTCAACATTTCCTCGTCTCGAGGCACGGTATCTAATGGTAACAATCACGTGCTCTAGATTGCTTATGCAACACTGGCTGGCAGAGTACGTGCTCACTATCGATGACGTCACTGAATTTCTTTAAAATATATAAATACAAAACTTTCAAAACGCACAAAAGTGTTCCAAATCAGCCACTATAGGTTTAGTGATTGATTACTATTATTAAAAGTTTAGTTCAATAAATTGTATAGAAGTTTTAAATAAAACAGAAAAAAAACAAGAACAGCACGATAGCGTCAGTTTCTTTACTTTGGGATAATGATACACTTTTCATTATATTCTCCTAGTTGATTAAGTAATAATAATGATTTGTTTATCTAAATTCATGACTTCTTACGACTTAACAAAAAACCTATCAACTCTTCAAGTGAAATATAATTTTTCCAATAGGGCTGCTTTTAGAACTACATATTTGGAACGCATCAGAAATGAACTGGCCTTATTCATTCTGACATTACAAGTATTACATTCATATTTAAAAGTATATTTCATTAAAAGATAATATTCTGTATAATAATGATAAGATCAATTACATATCCACGTTAATTTGTGTCGATGAGCAGATTGTACTAGAAGGTACATTTTTCCAAGATGGCGCGTTGTCCACCATCGCCTCAGCGTCCATTAACCCGAATCCGAACCAATGACTTACTACAAGTATAGGTTAGTAATAATTATTACTGGTTAGCATGTACAGTTAAATTGTTGGAGCGCCTGTTCTGCTCTTTACCACTTATTTAAATTTTGCTTATCAATAAACACTAACCAATTTAGTTTTTAAAATAATATTTTTTAACACTGATCGATCAAAGCCCATTTACTAGACTAAATTATGTTGGAATAGATTTAAAATATTTGAATAATTATTGATTTTTGAATAATTACAACATGAATCTCTATGCTACATCATGTTTCTATAATATACCTGTTTTACCAGCAGCATTCGTGTAGAAATTTGCGTCAGCATGTAAACCTGAAGATATAGAATATTCAACCAACATATGCTGCATGTCTCTCCACGTCAGTGCTGGACTGAAAACAATAAATGACTTATTTAGTTTGAAGGATGGATGAGGAAACATTTAGAACATGGTGCTGTACTTGCTAGACAATACTTGACCGTATTGCATGACAATTTTATAGAGTGATAGTTATCAAAGATGAAAATAATCGGATATGACATAATTATGTATTTATCATACTTTGCTTGTAGTGTTAATGCAAATATTCCGGAAGCTAGAGGGCAAGCTGATGAGGTCCCCGAGAAGTCATTCACACAGGTGTTACTAGGTCCTGTTGTTGCCTGCAAAATCAAACATAACTCAGTCTTATGCACAACGGAATTTAAACTTTTATACGAGTCTCGTTACAGTGTTTTAAAGGGAAAATATTATAGTCTGAAGATATACAATAAAAACTCAACAAATAAATTTATACTTGAATAATCTAATGTGTGTAAAGGAATAAAATATAAGATTAAAACAAAAAATATTAAAATAGACATAACAATGGAGACAAAACTTTCAATTTGTAATATCATACATGTACTAAATAAAATTTCAATTATGAACAGTAATCATTTGAAACTTTAAAAGTATATTCTAATTTTTGGTGCATTCGATTATCATTTATGAATATATAAATGTGTATAATTTGACTATATTCAATATAATTCCATAAATTAGCACCTTTACAAATTAGTTAGATAATCAAAGGTCCAAGTACTATGTATGCTATGTTCAAAAATATCAAATTAATGCATTTACAATTCGTGCGTTTGGGAAGTCACCACTGTAAGTTGCGGCAAGAATAGCTGTACAATGTTCGGAGTACCAAGTCGGCGCAGATGTCTCCGACACGGCGCCAATAGCTATCGTATAAATACTATTAGAATATCCGTCGGCATTACAATCATCATAATCTCCTCCGTTACCAGACGCCCACGAATATATCACACCCTTACCCCCTCTACCCTGTAACCATGGAGATAATGTTAGTTATAATGTTTGTCATACGACTTAAGATATAATAAATACATTTGTAAAGATTCATTCAATGCTACACCAAATATATTTATTAATATTTACTCAAAGATACATTTATGAAATATATTTTATAAATATTGACTCAGATATATCAAATAAATTTATAGATATTCACTCAAAGATAATTTAACATATTTAAGAAATAATATATCCCAAACTGTGATTTTATCGCTCAATAACATCACTGTTTGGAGTTCGGATACGAGGAATTATATCATGAGGGCGTAGCCCGAATGATATAATGATGCGCATCCGAACGACAAACAGAAATGTTATCCAGCGATAAAATCACTAATTTGGATATATTATTTCGATTCTAACACGACATCAACAAATGAATGCTGTCGTATCTGATTTCAAGCAAAATTGCGCCTGATTGTTTCCGTATTTATTGTCAGCGCGTCGGATTTTATAATGGTTACGTCACAAGCCCTATCTTTTGGCCATTTTCAAAAAGAAAACCTCCACATTTTTTATATGTTTATGTTAAAGGAACATCAGTTTTTACGAGTTTCACAAAATTGTTTATATATTAACTTACACGAATATGTCTGATGTACATGTATATACATTTGTAGTTATCTATGTTTAAAATTCAGTATGTGTGTTAATGATATATGTTGTATATAATTCATTATGCTTAAAATAAATAATTAAGGTCATTCACTGACCATTTAATCACATATGGCATTGTTTTTCCTCACACCGGCCGTCATAAATCTAAGCTATGTTTTGCATAGCGATTTTTATGTAAGCAGGTGAAAGGAACGGGATAACGTGTGCTAGACCCTGAAAGACTGTCGGCCAATGAGAATCGTTAATATCCCTTAAAGAATTTCGGCCAATGAAAATCGTTTAAACCCTTATCAGCATACCGCTTCCAGAACCCAGTTTAAACCAGTTACGTTTGCGGCCGGACACTCTAAACAAAGAATATTTTGCATTTTAAGATTTAAAAAAATAGAACTAAAAAACAATAAAAACAAAAACCTAAAAAAAAAAAACAATAGAAAAAAAAAAAAAAGAAAAATAAGAAAAAATCAAAATATTAAAAAAAATATTAAAAAGAATAATAAAAAAAAAAAAAACTAAAAAAAAAAATAATAAATAAAAAAAAAACATAAAAAAAAAGAATAAAAAAAAACATAAATAACAATAAAATTAAAAAAATAATTAGTAAAGATAAAACGGATAAGTCGAATGGTAATGTACGCAAAAAATGTAAAAGACAAATAGGGGATATAGAATAAGAGAGAAAGATATTAAAAAACAAAAAAACGAAAGCAAATAAATATTTAAATCTAAAAGTAGCAATTCACAGTAAAAACAAAAAACAAAAAATAAAAATAAAAATAAAATAATAATACAACATATAAATATATAAAAAATTTTAACAATAAATAAAAAAGCTATATAGTCAAGTCGGCGCAGATGTCTCCGACACGGCGCCTAAATAGCTATCGTATAAATATTATTAGAATATCCGTCGGCATTACAATCATCATAATCTCCTCCGTTACCAGACGCCCACGAATATATCACACCCTTACCCCCTCTACCCTGTAACCATGGAGATAATGTTAGTTTATGACTTAAGATATAATAAATACATTTCAATGATACACCAAATATATTTATTAATACTCAAAGATACATTTATGAAATATATATTCTATAAATATTGACTCAGATGTATTATTTAAATTTATAGATATTCACTCAAAGATAATTTAACATATTTAAGAAATAATATATCCCAAACTGTGATTTTATCGCTCAATGACATCACTGTTTTGAGTTCGGATACGAGAAATTATATCATGAGGGCGTAGCCCGAGTGATATAATGATGCGCATCCGAACGACAAACAGAAATGTTATCCAGCGATAAAATCACTAATTTGGATATATTATTTCGATTCTAACACGACATCAACAAATGAATGCTGTCGTATCTGATTTCAAGCAAAATTGCGCCTGATTGTTTCCGTATTTATTGTCAGCGCGTCGGATTTTATAATGGTTACGTCACAAGCCCTATCTTTTGGCCATTTTCAAAAGAAAACCTCCACATTTTTATATGTTTATGTTAAAGGAACATCAGTTTTACGAGTTTCACAAAATTGTTTATATATTAACTTACACGAATATGTCTGATGTACATGTATATACATTTGTAGTTATCTATGTTTAAAATTCAGTATGTGTGTTAATGATATATGTTGTATATAATTCATTATGCTTAAAATAAATAATTAAGGTCATTCACTGACCATTTAATCACATATGGCATTGTTTTTCCTCACACCGGCCGTCATAAATCTAAGCTATGTTTTGCATAGCGATTTTTATGTAAGCAGGTGAAAGGAACGGGATAACGTGTGCTAGACCCTGAAAGACTGTCGGCCAATGAGAATCGTTAATATCCCTTAAAGAATTTCGGCCAATGAAAATCGTTAACCCTTATCAGCATACCGCTTCCAGAACCAGTTTAAACCAGTTACGTTTGCGGCCGGACACTCTAAACAAAGAAAATTTTGCATTTTAACCCACCGCCATCCCCAACTCCACACTTTTTATAAAAAAATTTACAAACATAATCTGATACATTTTAGTATGCCTATGCTTCACAACATTTTACTATAACATTCTTTTACTCGAATTAAATTTGTATATAGCTTAAGGTGTTGTTTACATTCAATTTCAAAAGAAAACCTCCATATTTTTATTTGTTTATGTTAAAGGAACATCAATTTTACGCTATTCACAAAATTGTTTATATATCAACTTACACAAATATGTTCAATGTATATGTATAAAGTTATCTTTGTTTAAAATTCAGTATGTGTGTTAATGATATATGTTGTATATAATTCATTATGTTTAAAATAAAAAAGGTCATTCACTGACCATTTATTAACATATGGCATTGTTTTTCCTTACACCGGCCGTCATAAATAAATTTATAGATATTCACTCAAAGATAATTTAACATATTTAAGAAATAATATATCCCAAACTGTTATTTTATCGCTCAATGACATCACTGTTTGGAGTTCGGATACGAGGAATTATATCACGAGGGCGTAGCCCGAGTGATATAATGATGCGCATCAGAACGACAAACGATTCTAACACGTTATCAACAAATGAATGCTGTCGTACCTGATATTAAACAAAATTGCGCCTAATTGTTTCCGTACTTATTGTCAGCGCGTCGGATTTTAGAGTGGTTACGTCACATGTACAATGATTACGTCACATGTCTATATAAGAACGTCAAACAGTGATTGTAAAGCACAATAACACACACTTTCGGTCTAATAGGGAAAATGCGGGTCGTGTTAGAATTATAAATATTCACTTAAAGATATATTAAGTATATACTTTAAATACTACTTTAAAACCCAAACACAATGACCTTACGTTTGAGTCTTGTTAGACAATAATATCACAACAAAACGTTTACCCCAGTCACCCCTGTTTGTAAAGCTTCCCGTTGTATACTGGATAGCGAAAAAAACGTTTCGCCGTCATCGCTTGGACCCCAGCTGTTACTATATATATCGATGCTCGAGAGCTCGTGCGTTAACGCTAAAGCTTCCTCTGCTTCAGTAGCAGGGTACGTGTAGTCTAAAATACGTATTGCTGTAGAATAAACGTAAAATACTATTATAATTTTCCTTAATATTGTCAGGACTATTCCTCAGCAGTTCATCGAAAGGAAGATTCACTATCAAGAGGACTATGTTAGTTGTTTCGATGATTTTTTGTTACAAAGTTACTGTATGTCTCTGTTTTGCAGACTATTTCCTAGGAACTAATAAGAACCTTAAAACTTCATATACATGTGCACGTAAGTAGCTCTTTTGGTTTAATATTTTTTCAGGAATGCCCCTTCTTTATGCTTTTTGTTCGGACTATTTCTAAGCAATTAAGCAATCCTGACTACAAAGTAGAGTGCATATTATATAGCAGACTTATATTCTAGAAAACACTTATAGATAACTATATACGTAACGTGTTTATATGTGTATGCATGTACTTAAAATCGGGTCATCTATGACTGCTTTTATTTCGAAGGCTGGTTTAAGTGTACGTGTATTTTAATACGCCCCTCAACGTAAGTATTTAATATATAGAAAAAATCGCTTAAAGGTAAACTATTTTAACCTGGTATGGAAGCCTCATATGCCACGCCCACTATACAAACCGTATTCTTGACAGCTGCCACAACACCTGCACAATTTGTACCATGTCTGTAACAAAATTATCCCCAATAACATTGGTTCAAATATCAGACCTTTATGCTAAAACATTACTATTCAAATTGGAGTTTAGCATAATGCTTCATGTACGGCACACAAACCCTGTCGGTGAAAAAATTAGCTCACCGCTGAGAGTGCTTTGGTTTATGCCTTAATATGTGGGATTGTGGGATACTTTCCTATATGCTAATACATCACCTTTAGTTTTTGCAAGTTTTGATGCTCATTATGAGTATTATGACGTTCTATCAACACAGTTACAGATATAAAGACAATTTGTTAAGAAACTCTTTACGATGGAAATTTCTAGTGTTGCAACACATGTATTAAAAATGCATGACTTAGAAGCTAGTTAAAAACTTCTATTAAATGATGAATTAAAGAACGATCAAAGAACGATGAAAGACTATGTACATAATGTATTTCCATTTTAGATTTAATAAGAAAATAACATATAAACCAAGTACCCATCATAGGGTCCGAAGTGTGACGGATCAGCAATGTCATATATGATATCATAACTCAACCCAGCATTCTAAAATAAAATACAAAAGTTAATATTTTTAAATATTGGCAATTTGAATTATTCTAAATCATTATAGCATTATTATTTAATGTTATAGAAATTGTAATTGATAATTTCTTTTTCATAACAATAATAATCGTTACACTTTGCAATGTCCACTCGACAAAATGAAATAATTAAACGAACACGAACAAATATCCTTTATGTCATTCCACCGGAATAAAAGTTTTCTAAAATGAGAATGTGCGTCTTCCATGTCTCATGTTTGAAATTGATATTGATATGTTGAAAGCAGAGGAGTAGCTACCTTTTATAAAGAAAAGAAATAATTACAAAAATAGTTTTATGGCCTAACATGTCAGCAATATGGGACCATGATTTATATAGTTTTTAAGGACTTACATAGTTACCAGAAAGATCGCCATGATCAACATCAATACCGTCATCCACTATTGCTATGGTAATACCACTTCCGGTGAAACCTTTGTCCCACGCATTGTAAACATTCATACTTGGACTTTGACTTGTTTGCTGTTATGAAAACGTTAATCAACTTAGTATCATACTTATAAATATGTCAGCATACACAGGAGAGAAAATGCCTGTAATATTACCAATTTGAAATGAGACGCTTAAATCATACTTCATTTTTCTTCCAATAATTGCAACACAAATTTTAGAGACGTGTTTATGTAATTAGACTGAATAAAATACAATAAGCTTTAGTAAATATCATAGAGTGCAAAGATATAACTTTTTTTTTAGTAAGAGAAAATATCACTAAGAACTCACCAATTGCCATTGGTCAGACCATTTGGCATCGCTGATTGGAACAGCCTTTTTAGTTTTATGTTGATGGGTTAACTTTTGAATTTCTATCTGAAGGCAAAATAAATTCTCTGCATACAGTATACTCCGAATTCATAATGTATTTTCATTTTAAACGTTAGCGAGTAAAAGTATACATGGAATGACTTACGATTTATGTCCATGTCCTATATATATCTATAATTTTATTCATACCGTATTAAGAAGTATTCTATTCTAATTTTTATATCACCAATTTTGTTTCGATTAAAATCATTTTTAGTTGCTGTTTATGAAAACGATTCATTCCTAGAGCGCAAAGAACAAATGTCTTTCCTCACAATCAACATCTGAAACATCTGTCCTCAAATAAACATCTAGAACAAATATCCTCCTCACAATAAACATCTATAAATAACGATGAATACCTAAAACACTTGTCCTCACGATGAACATCTCAGAACCAATAACCCAACCCAACAACGACAAATTACCTAATAACCTAACGATAGACGTCTGACACAGTGATACTATTGTACAAATCTTTATACCTTATGTCCTTACCACATGACCAACATGTAGAATAAATATCCTTACCTCAAAACCAACAACAAATGTCCTTACCTCACCACCAGCGTCATGAACATATGTCCTTACTTCATATGATCAACATCTAGAACAAATTTCCTAACCTCACGACCAACATTTGGACAAATTTCCTCACCTCACGACAAAAGTCTAGAACAAATTTCCTTACCTTACGACCAACATTTGGACAAATTTCCTTTCTTCACGATCAACATTTGGACAAATTTCCTGACCTTACGACCAACGTCTGGAACAAATATCCTTACCCCACGGCCAACATCTAAAACAAATTTGTTACCTCACAATCAACGTCTGGAACAAATGTCCTTACCTCACGACCAACGTTTAAAATAAATATCCTTACCCCACGTCCAATATCTTGAACAAATTTCCTTACGTCATGATCATCGTCTGGAATAAATTTCAACACCTCACGACTAACGTCAAGAACAAATGTCCTTACCTCAAAACCAACGTCTATAACAAATATCCTAACCTCAAGACATACGTCTAGAGCAAATGTCCTTTTCCAAAGATCAACGTCTAGAACAAATACCCTTACCTCACGACCAGTATTTGGACAAATTTCCTTTTCTTACGACCAACATTTGAACAAATGTCCTTACCTCACGATGAGATTCGATAAGCTGGTCTATATCAACCGAGGAAGGAACAATAAACTCATATCTGGTGAGAACCTGAAACAGGTAATAGCTGCATCTATAGCGTACTAACAGGAAATGCCTACATCTATACCGTACTAAAAACAATGTTTCCTCACATGATAGCACGTCTGACTTGTAATAAGGCAGACAAGAAATTTAAACAAAACTGATCACAAGTCCATCATTTCTTTTACAAAGCTGGCATAAGCTAAGGAATAAGGTAAGCCTAATACAAACAAAATGTGAGATTATAGTTTATATAATACAATATTTTATGTTATTCATCAGGATATATGCGTATTTACAATAAATAAATACGGTTACTTATTGTATGGCATGTTTTTCCCCTGGTTCGCTTAATAATTAATGCTAGCCGGTGATTAGTAGATTTACCGCATAGAATAATTGTCAGTTGATAAAAAAATTTCTTAATCGTTAATAATCATATTGTTTTAAGAACGGACGAGGTTTTTTTAAATTGATACTGTCAATCACCAATTGAATTAACTTGATAATAGTGTCCGTTAAGTGTCGAGATTACAAAAAAATCCCGATAAAGAGTTGACAGTGTCGGTGTAACGTTGTAAACTGACCCCAATAAACTAATGACCCCCTGTCAATATTTTATGTAAAATAAAAACCCGCGATCAAAATATATAGACCGGGGTGTCATAACACGACTCCCATACACGTAGAAAAATGATCCTCACATAGAATACTGACCCCCTGTAGTATAGCGACCGCCCCCTCACATCCAAACTATAAAGCTCTTATTGGACTCTTTAAAAGATACACTGTCAATATTATTATCTTCAGATGGAAAATAAGTAATGTCACGTCCTTGTGACCGAATCTTTTCACTACTATCGGACGGAATGGTTTCTAGCTACTATAACCGTAGCCTATCCTCATTCTGCAGGAGAATATAAATGAATTTGATCTATACATAAGGAGTAAAGTAATAGCATTTTCTACAAATGACAACGGCTAGGGTCATTCGACTGCAGCACGATTTATATGCTCAAAGGTAATAAAACTATTAGGCCATCCACCTCATCATTTCGCCTTAATTTGTATACATGTATATATATGTACATGTATATATGGGTACTTATAAGTATCTTATTGGTCACAAAAATATGAAGGATTTTGGCATTACTTCCATAGTTATTATAAAACATAGTCCTTTTGCATGCATCTATTGTCTTTAAACTTTCTAGAAAATGAAATATTTTCTTCTTTAAAATGAGACCGTTAGCCTTTTCTTAAATTCTGACCCGATGACTGTTTCCAGTTTCAAAATGCTTACATTACACTGTACTCATGGTAAATATATAAAGCTAATATGCTAAAATGAAAAGGAAAAACTTGAGAATATCTAAACAACATCAACCGAAGAAGGTTTAGTTCCATTTTTAAAAATGCGTAATGTTTCCGTAACTTATTTCCAAATCATATTATATAGTATGTATTCATTTCCTCTTTTTTAACAATATTGATTCATGTATTAAGAGTTTCATAAATGTTTATTCTTCGCTTACTTGAAGGTCAACCATAAATCACAAAAACTTCAAAATAATTATTATTGCACATTTATAGTTGGTTTCTATTTACACATAATATATGCATATGGCTTTCTTTGCTCATGATCAGCCATTTATCACCCTATTAAGCTTACTTCAATTATGCTGAATACAAATCAGTGTAAAACTTCATGTTCTAAAGTAGCACTGTGTTAATGAAAAATAACATTCATTTAATTGAAATGTAACAAAGAACAACATTAAACGACTTTTCCAGATCCGAACATTTACGAAACAAACACTATATCACTGCACTGTTGAGCACTTAGCATAATTGAGTAAGAATGCAGCTCGTAGAAAATTCAGATTATTAATGTATGCTTTATTTGCGCGGTATGTCAGTACTATAGAAATGAATTGATAAAGAACTGATTTTTCTCTCAGTCAAAATACCTAATTACATATAAAAAGATGATGGCCTTTATAGCTGAATTGTATAGGTGAAGGCAAAATATGAAGAAAATATTTGAACTTGCACTTTACCGAAACTCTGCGTTTCCACTAAAATGAACACTTTTTCGGATAGTAGAATTTCCATTAGACGTTTAATACTTTGAATTTCATTTTTATAAGATGTCCTTTTTATAAGATGTTCGCTTGTTCTAAGCGGAACCTATCTTACCGTTGTTTTGCCAGCTTTATAGTTAAAATAAGGTTTTATTATTTTATATATAAGGGGGTCAGTATTTTATAGAAGAGAGTCAGTATATTTTATATAAAATAATGACTGGAGTCACTTTACAACGTTACACCGGCTCTCGGACCCTTATACGGAGAATGGAGCGAAAAGATGATCACTTTCTTTCTCGCATCAAAAAAAATGGTTATGGTTATATAATCCAGAGACACTCAAAAGAGTACCCTTCAGAAACAATGACGTTGGTGAAATTTTTCATTCTTATTGCGACGTCACGTACGTCATTTTGTTTAATCATCAGCGTGCGCCGAATCGTGTACCCCTTGTGATTAAATAATTGAAATGTGACTTTTAAATACATTTATAAGTTAATTTTAAGTCGGCTATGTTCAAAATGTTACAATAATACCTTTCTCCTTAATTTGAGACCTAGTTTATCTTCTAAATCAGCAAGCTGTCCATCATAAGACACCAATACACTGTTACTAGTTCCTTTTACCCGAGATGAAAATCCACCCGCAATAGAAAATACAACAATAAAAATACTTATTTGTAAACGCATATTTTTTGAAATACAGATAGTTTTCAAGCTTAATTTGTCCTTTGCTTAATATTAATATTAACAAATTATCTAAAATTATTTCAAATGTTTATAAAAATCGATTTAAAATGTGTTTTTACATTACAAAACGTTTAAGTAAAAGACTATTTCATTTTATTTTCAATGTACTTCCTACTACTTCGGTGAATATATTTCTTGAACCTTGAAATGGTTAGTTGATCATATATCATTATTACAAAGAGAACTTACTGACCATTTTCGAATCTTTTCTCCAACAACTTAGCGTTTCACTTGGCGAAGAACAAACCTCTTTCAACAAGCAAGATTAGATTTCTTTTTAATTACCCCTATTCTTTTTACAAGTGTACCAAGTTTTCGTTCTGATCATTCTATTATTCTACTAAAACTGAAATTTGTAAGTTTTGATCATGGTAAAGGATTGTGGAAGCATAATAATTCACTTTTAAAAGATTTAGATTATCTGAAGAAAAGTAATCAGATGATAAAACTGCTTTGCTGTTCCGATATATAAATATGAAAACATTTTAGATATAAATCCGTCAGACTTGCAATTAACAATAATTGTTAAGTTATTTCTTGACACCTTATTAATGGAAATTAGAGGAAAATCTATTTCATATAGTTCATATAAAAAGAAAGAATCAAATAAACGGGAAATTTCATTTTCTGCTGATAAAGTTGAGCAATTAAATAACTTAAAAGAAGAACTTAATAAAATAGAGAATGAAAAACTTAAAGGTTTTATTATAAGATCAAAAGGTTGATATTGGATTATTGATGGTGAAAAACCCAAGCAAATTGTTCTGTAATTTAGAAAAGAATAATTATACAACAAAAACAATTTTCAGTGTAATTAATGATGATGGAACAGAAATTTCAAATCAGACGGACATTCTCAAAGAAATCTCTGCTTTTTATTTCAAATTGTATTCAGCAAACAACATAGAAAATTCAAATGAAACTTTCAAATATTTTATTGATAGCTTAACTTTTCCCAAATTATCAGAAAATGATGCTGCATCTATAGAAGGACCAATAACAATAAATGAGGCGTCAAATGTTTAAAAAAATATGGCTAACAATAAAAGACCAGGAACTTCGGGCTTTAATGCAGACATTTATAAAGTTTTTGGAACCGTATTGGTATGTTTGTTTGTAGGGCTTTAAATCATGCTTTTTCATCAGGGTCTTTGTCGCTTACGCAAACACAGGGAATCATTATATGTATTCCGAAAGAATAAAATAATCTAGAAAATATTTAAATAACTGGATACCAATTACTCTGTTAAAATGCGTCTATAAAATAGGATCAGGCTGTATTGCAAATCGTTTAAAGAAATTTTTAGATAAAATAGTTAGTAATGATCAAACAGGCTTTATTAAAGGCAGATTTATCGGCGAAAATACTAGATTAATCTATGATATTGTAAAGGAATGACTTGTATTTGAACATTTTTTATGTACTGTTATATTTATTTAACATCTTAAGAGTTGTGTTTACTCTACCAGGTCGTGAAAATACATGACAATTGTTAACAAATAAATTTACCTTAATTTCTGTCAGACCTATGCCTTAGAAAAGAGATTGACATTCAATGGCATGTGTAAATATCTGGTAAAACGTCATTTATTGACTTGTAACAACTGTGGAACACCAGCGAGAAGTTTTCGTTTTTCCTTTAAATTTATCACTATCAGCGGAAGCTTGATTAATGAGCAAATGAATCATATAATTAACCTAAAGGTGTTATTTAATACCAAAAACTAATGTTATTTATCAAACTGGACTTTATATGGATTACTCTGAATACGTAACTGGCTACAGAAAATATCTTTTGAGGCAGAGATTATTTGAAAAATAGCGCCTTCAAAACATGTAAACAATACGTACGCCATTGAAGGTCAAACAAGTTCAACTTGGTTTTGCATCGATCGTAATTACGTAGAAACAAGAGCAAGAATTTGATGAAACAGTATAAATACCTTATTCCATAACTTTTGAGCCCAGTTTTACAATGAAACGAAATTGCTTTTATGAACATTTGAACACATTACTTTGTTGACCTGTCGAACTTTCGCATTTATAAGGCAGAACTTCTTAGCGCATTGATACGGGAAATACGAAAGCTAAATATTTTATTTACTAGAATGTGGTATTATTATTAAATAATACCTCCGATAACTATTGCATTAATACTTTTATTCATTGAGGTTTCTTTTTACAAAGAAAATGAAACTTTCGCACAGACTTTTTGTTTATGCGTATCCATTGCGGAAGTCGAATATAATGACGCAATCTGATTGGCTGGGAAGTTTATAAATACAGCTGGCTGCGTCATGTCGGGCAGTCGTGCTTTCGGAAGTACAAGGTTAACTTAACTAAATGAAACGGGTCTAGGGCGTCGGAACACTATTGCAAAAGTACATATGCAAAACTTTAGCATTATTTAAATATATTTTTAACCAAGTACAGTATCAGAATTTGTTATTGCGTATGCTCACACACTCTTGCATGAAACTTGCGCAAAACGTACTCACGCAAAAGTTCTATTTTCAAATGTATTTTATTCTAGCGAAAGTAACCTGGTAGAGTATTACACAACATCTGTAGAACGTTATTATATCGTGACCTATGCTTTATCTGTATAAAATAAGAATGGAATAACAGACTATATACATGTATAAGCAATTCGTGTTTATAAAGAATACATAACAGAAACTTAATATAGTTAATATTTCATTGAAGAAAGAGAAAATAAGCCGTAAATGAAGTTCAGCATTTATTATATATATTTCTATAAATAAAAGGAAGTTATTGTTTGGAAATTCTGGTGTTTCTTGTTGAATCTCCTTGGTTGGCCCAGGTAACAAAAATTACAGCCATCCGACATACATGTAGTCAAATCATACCTAGCCTGCCATGTTATAAAACGCTTGTGGTTCTACTAACATTACCACTAATACTTACCTTTCTCTTACAATATTATGAACTACACAGAAGAGAAAGATATTCCTGGTTTACTTCTTCTCATAGACTTTGAAAAAGCTTTTGAATCATTATCCTGGAATTATTTTGCTACCAACTTTAACCTTATTCAACCTTGGATACGATATTAAAGGATGGTTCAATATATTGTATAAAGATAACTATTGTATCAACAATAAGTCAGTGTGAATTTCTTTCCGACTTTATTCGAATTCAAAAGGGCTTTTTGTCAAGGAGACCCTTTAAGTTGTTACATTTTTATCCTATGTGCAGAAATATTACCAATAAAAATTAGGTCAAATGAAAAAATCAAAGGTATTAAAATAAATGGTATTAAACATAAATTATCTGAATTTGCATACGATATAACTGTTATACTTAATGGCACTGATGAGTCTTTAAATGAAGTCCTAAACACACTTGCAGATTTTTCAGGTCTTAAGGCTAACTTTGATAAAACCAAGATTGTTTGGATTGGTAAACTTAAATATAGTACAAATAGCAATAAAACTAAATTGAAATTATCTTAGAACCAGTCTTCTTTTGATATGTTAGGTATAAAATTTCATGTAGAACTTAAAAAATGGTGACAATTAATTATAAAAGAAAAAATGAATAAAATGCGGAAAATATTATCCAATTGGAAACGAAGAAATTTAACTGCAATTGGAAGAACCATAATCGTTAAATCTTTATTGTTATCAATATTATAGCATAAAATCGGCTATTTTCACTCTTTTGCCCATGTTATAACGGGGCCAAAACCATGCGTTAACATAGTCACGCGCTCTTGTTATAGCCCGGTTTTACCTATGCGCAATACATACAGGGCCCAGTAAACAAACAAAAAAAGACGATTTGGCCTGTTTGCCAGAGTCATGCGCTCTTGTTATATTGGAATTATTAATTCGAGGGCCTCAGTCGCATAACGGCGAGCAGCATTCAAGTAATTATATCGGCAATACGGCGTATATAGACATCGCCGCTTATCTTGGTTGTCGCCCTTTCTTAGAAACGGACAGTTGTCAATGTAAACAAATAGAATCTGTCATTCAGTTTAATCCCCCCGATTAACTTACAAAAATGGAAAGCACAAAATGAATATAAGAAAACGTTGTTTTATTGACGTTTATATTGATAAATGTCCTGTATGTTTCTTTGAGAGAATAATGTTTTATGCCTGATTTTTTTAAAACTTGCGTGCTTAAAAAAAACGATTCTGAATTTGAATCTGATGTCACTGATTTTTTTCCTACCGCCAATCTGTAATCAATCTAGGAATTTCTGAGGCGTCTGTTTTGTCTGGGGAGAGTAATGTTATGTTTTTCTTAACTTAATATATCCCCAAAGTTAAACTTTGTTAAATCAATTAAAATTCGAAATTTCGTTCGGTTCTCAAGTTGTTGGCCCCGGAAAAAATAAAACGCATACGTAAAACATGTAGAGTTCAAGCACAAGGATTTTATGTTTGTGTTTTGTATATAATATACATTATGAATCTGTTTTAAAAATTTTATGCTATAATAGCGTCAACGCACGTTTATTTCGTGTTATAAAGTCTGCAGAGTCCCTCGGAACTGTTGGAGCCCTCGCCTTACTGGGCTCTGGCACCAACCGTTCCTCGGGACTCTGCAGACGTTATAACACGGAAAAACGTGCGTTAACCCTATATTCACACATTTGATTACAACGCTGTCAAATTCAAGTCCTAATATAATTAAAAACTTAACTGAAACCTTCAGAGATTTTGTCTGGCATGGTCAATGTAAAATTAAACAAGACGTCTTGAGACAAAGCATTGATAAAGGTGGTCTTGGAATGATAGACGTTGAAGCATATATTTACTCTTAAAAGATATCTTGGATTAGAAGAATTGTAATCAATAATGGTAAATGGATAGGTTTGGCATGTATAACTTTTGATATAGAGAAATTAATTAATTGTGGTATTGGGTATTTAGAAAAAAAGATTAGTGAGATAAAAAAATGATTTTTGGAAGGACACTTTGAATGCATATTATATGTTCTGTAAATTTTTAGAAACAAATGAAAATGAGTTATATTCTCATCCAATTTTCTATAACCCTTTAATAACTATTGACAATCAACCAGTATTCTT